AAACAATTGATCAAAAACTTGCTTGGTTACACACAAACACACACACACACATACATGCATTACACATAAAAAAACAAATAAAAATAAACCTACCTATATCTGCCTACCTACATACCAGTATACAGAATATTCTATATGGCAAAAACAACAACAACAACAACAACAGAGTTTGAATCAAATGAAAACAAGAATTGTATAAATAAGTGGGTTAGGTTTTTGTTTTTTTGTTTGATGACAAATGTCGATCAATTCTTTTTCTTTTTTCTTTCAACAATAAACTGATGATGGAATTGAAAATAACAAAAAAAAAAAACAAAACGAAAACAACCAAAATAAACATTAGGATTTAAAGAATTATATTATTCGAGATTAATCAAGTTGTGTTTACAGTCACATGTATATGTATGCCTACGTGTTAATATTAAGAAAATCATCATGAAAAAAACAACAACAACAACAACAATATTATTAATGCTGGGTTGGCTGCTTGTTTTTTTTTCTGATAATTTTTGTACAATTTAACTATCGCTAGAAGTAGTGAAAAAAAATAAGCAAAAACAACGACAAAATCAAAAAAAAAATAATAAAAAACACCCACGCTATTTATATATAATGATGATGATAAAATAACGACAACAACAACAACAACACGAGGGTTGACAAAATTTTTAACAAACGACAAAAAAGTATTATCTATACACAACCGGATTCTAGAGAAAAATGTCTGTCTTGATGACCGAGAGAGAGAGAGAGAGAGAGAGAGAAAACATTCAAATTACCGATGATAAAACCTGGCGTAATATAAGAAGAAAAAAAAAAAGATCAAAAAAGAATTTTAATTGAATTTTCCGTGTACATTTGATTCACACCAAACAAACAACAACAACAACGACGAAAAAACAAATTCCAAAAATCAATCAATAGAAGTGAAAAATTTCCGGAAAAATTCTTTATCGACAAACAAACAATTTTACATTTCACACACAAAAAAAAAAAATCAATTGACAAACACACACACACACAAACACACAAAAAAAAACAACTGAAAAAAAATTTTCAACGAAATCAACATGGGAATATAGCACCTAGACGTAAAACAACAATCAAATTATGAAATGATGGAAAAAAACGACTATAGTCTATTGTCACCTTACACAAAAAAAACAACAACAACAACAACAAATTTGAATGTGAAAATTGAAAAAAATAACCAGAATAAAGGTGTTGATGATTATATGATTGTTGACCAACAATAAATTCTTTGCAAAAGCATCACAACAAATGACCAATTAATAATGAAGGTTTTTGCATACCTGGACTGTTTGTTTTTTACATAATAATTCATTCATTTAGTATATTGTTTGGTTTGTGCATCTTTTCTTTTCTTGTTTTATTAACCAATTGTTGTCGTGGTTTGATGTGAAAAAAAATTCCCATTCTAGTAGTAGTAAAATAGACAAACCAACTGATTATTAATACCTGAGAATTGGCTGTTTTGTATATATGTAAAATAAGAAGAAAAAAAAATGTGAGAAAAAAAAGCCAAAGAATCTCACACATTTAAATGTCAATCACATTGTTGTTGTTGTTGTTATTTCTAGTCAAAAAAAAAAAAAAAAAACAACAACAACAACAAACAAAACAAACAGACATACCTTTTTATTAGATTTTCTAGATGATGATGATGATGATAATGAAAATTTATGGAATTTTTTTATTTAGAAAAAAAAACTGAGATCATTTGGTGTTGAATAGAAGTTTTTTTTCATGAATTAATCACACACACACAAAAATGTCATGTTCCGGATACGGATGTTTTATTTTGGCGGTTAATTTTCATTCAAATCAACTAGTTGTTGTGGCGGTTAATTAATGATAACGCGCGCACACACACACACACTGATGAATAAATCAAATTAAATGGTGACTTTAAAAAAAAAAAAAAAAATCACGGTCATGGTCAATTCAAATTGTGTAATTGAAAAAAAATTAATCAATTATTAATCATCATCATCATCATCAATCAATCAATAAAACACATACACACCTACACAGGTAAATCGAATTAAAATTAACAAAAAAAAAAGTCATCATCACCATCAGCAGCCAATCAATCCATCAAAAAAAATGATGATGATGATAAAGATACAAAGAAAAAAATTTTTATTATTAAATGTTGCGCTGTGTTGCAAAAAAAAAAAAAAAAACTGATCCAAACAACAACACAGCCAACTGACAATCAACCACAGACTGATTCAATGATCACATGGTGACTTTGGTTTTTGTTCAACAATCATCATTTTTTTATTTTTTTTTTTTTTTCATAAGAATCATCGCTACTGTAACCACCACTTTTACTACTACTACTACTACTACTACTACTACTACTACTACCACAACTGTATACAAATGTGACAGTTGTTTTTGTTGAATGAAAATAAATACACACACACACACATACACTAAAATACATAAAAGTAGACTACTACCACCAATCATCATCTTCAATATCATAATGTTTGTAAATACAAATGTTGCAATTGATGATGATGTTGATGACGATAACGATGGGTATTAAATTCAAAACAACAACAACAACAACAACAGCAGAAAATAAACGCGCACATCCATAACGGTGATAATTTTTGAATTTTTTTTTTCTTCATATTGAAAATGAAATCAAAACAAAACCAAAAAAAAAAAAAAACAACACCCAGTCGCGCCATCTATGTGCAGCGACTACGAAAAAAAAAAATTTTATTTCTTTTCTCCATCGTAAAATTCCATTTTGTTCCAAAAATTTTTGACATTGAATAATGATGATGATGATTTTGTTCGCAATAAAAATAAAATTCAAATTGGAATTTTGTTTGTTGTGTAGTATGCAGAATTAATTGATTTTCATCAATTTTGATTACAATTTGAAGAATAAGAAAAAAAAGCAAGAAAAAAAACAGGAAAAAAAGAACGAAATAATAAAGAATCAAGAATTGAAATTCCAATGCTCATGTGTTTATGTGTGTGTGTGTGTGTGTGTGTTAATTAATCTAATTTCATGGTTCTTCGAATGTGTGTTTGTGTGTGTGATATAAAATGAGCTAGAAAACAAAAAATGAACCACTGAAAATTGTAAGAATAATAAAAAAAAAACAAATTTTCAAAATAAAAACCAGTTATACAATCGAAAATTTGTCTGTTTCTGTGTGTGTGTGTGTGTGTGTTCATCTTATTAGTTATACCACATCCACCAAATTGTATAATTTCAACGACAACAGAAAAATTGAAAAAGAACAGAAAAGATAAAAAATTCTTTCCATTGCATTTAATGATAATGACGACGATGGCGACGACGACGACAAACACAGAGATAAATGGAATGAAACGAAAATTAAATATCACAACCAATTCATTGTGTATGAATTTTTTTTTTCATTCTTTTACCAACAACCATTGAATATTCCAAACATAACATTCTTAGACGCCTAGCTTAATTATTATGATGATGATCATCATCATCATCATCATTAAGAATGGAAATGAGCACACACTACACGGAGAGAGAGACAAAGTTGAAACCAAATACAAATGAAAATGAAATGAAAAAAAAATCGGAGACAAATAATGTTTGCCGCCAAATCGTCATCAATGTTGTTGTTGTTGTTGTTGTTGTTAATGTTTTCGATAATGATTGTATCGATTTATCGAAAAAAAAAATTATTCCATTCGCTTGTGTGGTGGTAGGGTGTCTAAAGCAAACAGAAAATTTTTTATTGAAAAATTTTCCCATAAATATTTTTTTCGGAAATATTTCTTTGCATTCAAAAACAAAAAAAAAATTATTTCCAACCAATAATCTTATCTGGATTGAAAATCATCAAAACAACAACAAAAAAAATGACAATATCCATGTACAACAATTAACACATAACCAGATAATTTTTTTTTTTTTTTTTGAGAAAAAAAAACAGGGATATCCATGTGTGTAGTGGAGGGTTCAAATAAAAAAAAAACGATTTCCGGCAGATTCTCATGTCCAAAAAAAAAAAAAAAAAAATTATCGAAATCGAAAGTCAAATAAACAAGTAAAAAAATGTTAAAATGATTGAATTGAATTGAAAGAAAAAACATTTGCCATTTCCGTTGATTTTGATTTTTTTTTCAAAAAAAAAAAAAACAAACATTGAAGAGAGAGACAGAAAAACTGGACCAAAAAAAAAAAAATTTAATGTTATCATAGACCTAGTGTTGGTTCTAGTGTGTGGTCAAACACATTAACCTTTTTTTTCATCATCATCATCATTCAATCAAAGCCAATACACAAACACACACACACACGGGCTCTATAGAAAAAAAAAAATTACGATACAATAGACCCAGTGTGTGTGTGTGACGATGACCACGACCACCACCACCACCATAAGGTTCCGGTTAGATTAACAACAACAACGGCAACGGCTGCCCATTTCGTTAAATTGTTGTAATTTTTTTTATGAATGAACAACAATTTAGAAGAATAAAAAAAAATATCATTATGATTGGTTGTCAAATGGTCAAAAAAAAAAAAAATAAATAAATAAATAACCACTTGAATGAGGAGAAGAAAAAAAAATGTAACAAATAAACAACCGACATTTTTTTCTGTGTTCTGTTGTTGTTGTTGTTGATTACCTTTTGTCCTTGACAATATTGTTCATTTTTTATTTCTCTGTGGCCAAGTAATAGGTGAGTGTGTGTGTGTATGCCACAATGTCACCGGGTCATCGCCGATTTTGATAGGTCATCGACAATTGTTCAATAATTTTTTTTATGGTATAATGAAAATTGAAAAGTAAAAGTGAAACTGTCGCTGTAGCAGCAGTAGCAGCAGCAGCAGTCAATTTTACTGGAAATTAAAATGTGTAAAAAAAAATTCTCTACACTAGAATCAAAAGAAAAAAAAATTCAGGAATTGAAACACGATAATCCCTGTGCAGCAGTTTGTTATAAAAAAGGGATAAATAATGAATAATTTCGATGAAATCGACAAGGTAAATCTGTCTGTGTGTATGTGCGCGTGTATCATAGTCGAAATTGCATCAATCAATCAATTTGATTTTGGGTATTAAACACACACACACACACACGCTGAAAAAAATTCAAAATTTGAAATGAAAAGCAACCGCGTAAAAAAAACGGGAGAAAATAAACAAATCCTAATGCATAAAAAGCAAAAAAGTATCCTTGACGTCTAATTTATAATGATTAAATTAGATTAAATCGATGAATGAATGAATGAATGAAAAAAAATCGGCAAGAAAATTGAGAGAGAGAGTGAAAACGCAGACATGCATAGATCAAGATAATCTTTGGTTTTTTTTAACTTGTTGTGTGTGGCAATTATTTGTTGTTTGTCATGGAAAATGGCTGTTTTTAGTCGAAAAACAAAACAAAACAAAGCAAAAAAAAACCTTTGTTTACCCAGTTCATATCGATAAACAATCAATAATAAATCATGAATGAACATCATAAATGATGATGATATGATTCTGGCGAAAACAAACAACGATGAATTTTACTTTTTTTGACATTTAAACAAATGGTCGATTGGCATTGAAAAAAAATCCGTTTGAAATAAACAACAACAACAACAAGTGTTGATGAGCGGAAACAAAAAATCGATACAATCACATTGTTGTCATTTTGAAACAAAAAAATCGTACATTCATCCACAAACAACAATCTATTTTTTAAAAAATTCCAAATTCATTGGAATTGTTTGCCTGTGAGAGAAATTCGAGAATTTCTTTCTCTGTACACACACACATGATATAAAAATCGAAAATTTTATCGATTGTGTTGTGCGTGTGTGTGTGTGTGTGTGTGATTTCTGGTTATTTGTTTTCCGGTATTTTTATTTTTTTTTTTTTTTCATTGTTTATTCACACATGGAATATGGGATGTACGAATTCATCTATTAGCCGTAATAGTACAAACAAAAGTCTAAGTTGTGGTAAAGAATCTGATTCAATTTCAACGATAATAATGCCATCATCAATACGTACATCAAAAAAGAAACAACAACAACAACAGCCACAATCATCTAGATTGATTCAATCATCTAGTAGTAGAACAATAAATATCAATTTTTTAACAATAAGAGAACGTAATCAATTAGCCAATGGTTTAATACCATTAATACAATCATCAACAAAATTATTGTTGAGTGCACCATTTTCAAATTTTAGCCAATACACAAGACGACTATTTTTGACCGGATTCGCTGGCATTATACCGGAGAATATTAATAATAACCGTATTGGATACATAATCATTTTGGCTAAAGAAATGGCCAATATAACAATGGCGAAAGATAAAACAATGATTGGTGCTGAAGTTTTTAAATTTATGGTAAATTTTAAAAAATTTCATTTCAATTTTCAAATTAATCATTTTCACACACACACACACACACACACATGTATTTAGCTACCAGAAAGTTTGACCACATCGATACGTGATCAATTGACCACCATAGTTGATTTGATTGATAAAAAAATACGTGAAAATAGTGAAAAAAATGTCGTCGTTTGTTGTACAGCCGGTATGAGTCGATCAGCCACAATTGTATTAGCATATGCTATAAAACATTTACGTGTATCATTACGCATTGCATTTCAAGAACTACAACAATCACGACAATGTGCAAGGCCAAATCCAAATTATTTTCAACAATTAATCGGTTATGAACATGAATGTTTGGATAAAAATAGTGTACACATGATTGATATTGGATCAAAAATTCATTTGAATGAAAATGATAAAAAACGTACTACATCGGCAATGAAATCAAAAATTCATTCAACAATAACAACAACAACAACGACGACGACAACAGCATCATTACGATTACCGGACATTTATCGTGATTCATATCCAGAATTGTTGAAATATGAACAGAATACACATGAATATTTGAAAACAAAATCACAAAAACAACAATCACCAATGGCACAAAGCAGCGTTGGCGGTAGAAGAACCGATGAAGAATATACTGGTGAATTACGTCCATATATTATTGAACATGTTTTTTATTGGAAATTTTTTCATGATATCGATTTAGCACGACAACAGCATACTGTTTATGTGAAAGAAAAAACTAAAAGTTGAATGTTTCTCTCTGTTATTGTTGTGTTCATTACAGGAAAAAAAATCAAGACAATAAAAAAAATCATTAATACAGAAAACAAAAAAAACAGAAAAAAAAAAATTGATTATTAATTGATTTTAAAAGTCTGTTTTTGTTGTTGTTGTTGTTGTTTCTGGTATCGATACCATCGATACTAGCACAATTATTATATCGATTGTTTGTTTTTGTTTTTTCATCATCATTATTGTTGTTGTTGTTGTTGGTAAACACATCATTATACACAACAACAACAACAACAACAACCCCTTTTGATGATTAATGAAGATTTTTTTATTCTGGTAAAAATTGAGTTAGATACGCACGAAAAAAAAGAAACAAAAATTCTTTAATGAAATGAAAACAAAAAAAAAACAAAAAAAAAATTTCAATTGAATTAATGATCAAATTAATGCTTTTGTTTCAGTTTCCAACAACAACAACAATAACAACAACAACAACAACAACAACGGAGAGGAGAGAAATGGCGCATCTTCTCGATTTTAGAAGCAAAAAAAAAGAAACAATCATCATTATGTGGATATCTATGGAAAAAAAAGTGTTTTAAATACTCAATAGACACTGGGAAATAGAATAGAAAAACAATTAAAATATATGATTCACGCGATCCAAAAACTTGTTCCAATAACAACAAATGAACAACCGAATAATAATGGAAAAACCTGAACCGAACAAAAAAAAAAACAATCAAAAGCAGATGACATGCACGATGATGATGATGATGATGATGATGGTTATCAGGTAAATTTAATTAATTTCAAATGTAAATTTGTTCTTGGTTTTCGTTTTGGTTTCAAAATATTGTGTCTGTGTGATGGTTGTGAATAATTTTTTTTCTGTTTTTCATTTGTGAACCCAATGCTCTAATTTACATCAATGTATCGGTGGTTGCTGTTGTTGTTGTTGTTGTTGTTGTAATTGAGATTTTTTTTTTACATCAAATCACAGGAACCGTAAAAAAAGTTTGATAAAAACAAAAAACAAAAAACAGAAAAACAAAACGAAAAAAAAAACATCAATCCTATCGAATTCGGTTGTTGTTGTTGTTGTTGTTGTTGTTGTTGTTTGTTTGTTGAATATGGAAACAGATTCATTCTCATCATCATCATCATCACCAATGTACAACAATCAACAACAACAACAACAACAACAGAAATGAAATGAAATGAAAAACACAAACACGCACACGAACATGATATGTGATCAAAAAAAAAAAAAAAAAAAAATCAGAAAAATCAGAAATAAAAATGAGAAACAACAAAAATCAAATTAGCTCTGATTTCATTATCATTTGGTGTAGATAGATTGTTACATATGGAAAACAAACTTTAATTTATCATCATCATCCATAGCAATGAACAAAAATATGAAAACATTTGGATTTTCAGCAAACAAAACAAATGAAAAAAAAAGTTTTGCCAGAATCATAATGACAACAACAACAACAACAACAAAAAAAATCTAATAATTTTTTTTTTTATAATAATGATGATTATTATATGATTTTAGGCGCCATAATATCGAAAATCTAGCGACATAGCAACAACAAGAATTGTATATTTGTTTATCATACACACACACACACACACACAGAAATACAATTGAAACGAAATTTTTTTTTTTTATTTCACACTCGAATTTTATTTGCCAACAACAACAAACAAAATAATCACATTTATTTATATATATATAAATAAAGAATCCTTGCGGGCGAGAATTTTTTTTTTTTTTTTTGAAATGAGAAAAAAAAGTGCAAAGAATCGTCGTCGTTAAGCTTCTTTTTTTTATGGTGTAATATAAGAATAAAAAAAAAAAAACGATGTAGAATTGAATCGAATTCATTTTGTTTTTGTTTTGTTTTGTGTTTGTTTTTTTGTTTGTTTATAGAGTTTTTTTTTCTTCCTTTGGTACACAAACACACACACACACACATATTTCATATTTTTTTTCCAAATCTATGCATACAAGAATATTGTGAAGAAGAAGAAGGAAAAATATGTTTGTTTAAACAAAAGATTCAAGAATCGTAATAAAAAAAAACACAATATACACACACACACAGAGAGAGAGAGAGAGAGAGAGAGAGAGAGAGTTTTTGTTGTTGTTGTTGTTGTTGCTGTTATTATTATCGATATATTATTATTATGGCTCCAGGATGATGAAGAATCCATCCAACCTTGTGAGAAAGAAAGAGAGAGAGAGAGAGAGAGCTCTAAGACCCGTAAATACCACACACACACACACACACAAAATGAAAATCATAATAAAATGATGATGATGATGTTTTTTTTTCATTTTTTCTTTCTCTTTTCCAATAACAACAACAACAACAACAACAAAAGACTCAAGAGTTTTATTTTTCAATCATCATCATCATCAACACAAAACATAAGCATCATGGAAAGGAACCAGAAAACAAATTCCAATGAAACCATGAAAAAGCAAATGGATATTTTCATCATTTTTTTTCATTTCATTTCATCACTCATCATTTATTCCCATTCTCATTATTATTGTTTGGCCATACATTCTATGTAAATATTATTATATTCCATCATCATCATCATCATCAACACATGAAAATCGAAAAAAAAGATAGTTTCAAAATAAATTATCTAGGCCGAATGATAATAATAATAATAGCTACGGCAACAACAACAACAACAAAGACGACGACAACAACAACAACAACAACAGCAGCAGCAGCAGCAGCAAATTATTGATAAAAAATAATTGTTGATAAATAGGATAAACAAATAGAGAAAATTTATATATTTCATTTATTCATCTTTGTCATATTTTATACACTTATTCCAAGATGATGATGATGAAAAAAAAAAGTGGAATATAATGAATATTCTTGTTTGCTTCCAATAACAACAACAACAACAACAACATCAACAACGACAATAACAACAATAATGATGATGATGATGACAAACAAACAAGAATGCTGGGCCCCACATACAAACGAAAAGGAATAATTTTTTTTTCAATTAAATATTCCAATAATTCTTATGACGTAAAGAATTATTTTTTTTTCGTTTGTCATCTCAAATAAAAGAGAAAAAAAATTTTTTTTTTCACGGGGCAAAGAAAAAAAGAATTGGGTCTCACGAGAATGTAGCCAAGAGTGAGAGATATGAGTTTGTTTTGTCATGGAAAAATAATGTTTGCATGTAAAAAAAAGAAATTGTCATACATACACACACAAACATTGTGTGATGAAAGGAGAGATTCTCATTTTATTCTTGAAGCTCACAAAAACCTGTAACAAAGATTCCATCATGATGATGATGATGATGAGTAACCGAAAATGAATGAAATACAAAATTTGTTCGTATTCCAGATCGATGTATGTGTGTTGTGTGTGTGTTTTAATAATAATTTTTTTTTGTTCACGAATTTTTCCAATCGAATGCATTCAAATTGAATATTTATTCACAACATGGATGATGGAGAATAATATTTCTCTCTCTCTCTCTCTCTCTCTCTCTCTGTTAATCGTCATTATCAAACAAATAATAATGATAATAACCAGAATTGAAGGAAAAAAAAATAGTTTGATTATTATTTTTCGGTTAGCAATGGAAAGGAAAATTATTTTTTGAATATAAACGATTCATTCAGGCATCAACACAAAACATCACAACAGTGAGACACAGACACACACAGAGAGAACAGCCAAATAACTTTTTTTTTGGCCATTTTCACCACCACCACCACCATCATCATCATCATAATCATCCAAAATGATGATGTGCAATGAATTATAGAAATGAGAATATCATTATCATTATCATTGTGTATGCGTGTGTCTTATTTGATATAATTTAAAACAAAATCATCATCAGTACCTATGTAGCACCAATTAATTAATTTACAATCACATACATATATACATTGTATCACTAGATGAGAATTTTTTTCAGTGAAAAATAAAAATGAAAATTAGAACATTATGATCATTTAGATTTGTAGTTGTTGTTGTTGTTGTTATTGATAATGGAACCAAATGGAAACAAAAAAAAATTTCTGGTAAACACCTATGTTTTTTGTTTTTGGTTTCTGGAAACAATTTTATCAAATTACAAACAAAAAAAAAACGAAATGATCAAAATCACGAGACACACCTTTTTTCACAAATGCATTTACACACACACACACACATCGAGCAAAAATCAATAACCAGCAAAAAAAAAAGACAATCGAAACAAATAAATTTTTTTTCTCTTTGATTGGTAAATATTGGTTGTTTTCTCTCTCTCTCTCTCTCTTGATCTTCTCCAAATTCAATATATTCAAAACCAGAAAAAGAAAATTAACATAAACGAGAGAGAGAGAGAAAGAGAAATCCATAAATCATGTCATCGGTTTTTTTCCTTCATCATCATCATCATCATCATCACGATTCCACAACGCACACACAGACAATAATTATGAGATAGATTGTAATCCATATTTTAATGATTCATTGCTCGTTCTATTCAATGATAGAATGGAACCTAGAGAAAAAATTTTTGTTGTTGTTGTTGTTGTTGTTTTTATTTTTGTTTTCCTGAAAATTATTGATATTGAGCTTACCGTAAAAAACCGGAAAATGGCGATGGTCATCATCATCATGATCATCATTTCAGGTAGAAATTATTTTCACTATTAGACAATTCAGACAAGAAAAAAAATTGATTGGCCTAATTTTTTTTTTTGGTCTATAAAAAAAAAACATTCCGCTGATCATATCGCATACAGATACCGAGAGAGAGAGAGAGACGTCAACCAGTGTATATAACATGATAATAATTTCGAAAATACAGAGAGAAAGAAAAAAAATAAAAATAAAAAAAAACGACGGAAATTTTTTTCGGTTATTTCATCATAAATATAAATTATTCGTCATTTATTTTTTTTTTATTTTCATTCAGATCCATGATGATATTGGATTATGATGAAATTGGCCATAATAAATGCTGGCCACAATTGGCGGCTAGCCACAATCATAATTGATCGATTTTTATTGATGATGATGATAAT